ATCTTTAAATATGTTTAATGGATGTTGAATAATTATAACAATTTGTATACATGTATTGATGATACTAATAACGGAAAAAACATGGAATTGAAAATTATTAGAGAAATGTTGTCAATGCTAAAATAATACAATGACTTAGAATAGGATAAAAAAAATCTTTATTATCGGATATATTGAAGATGATATAATGAATCATTATAATATAAATGGATACATACTTAAAATACCTTTAAAATGGAGAAACAACAGTGATAATCAAGTAAATGAAGTATAATAATAATAATGTATACAAAGATATTTGATTGACAATATGTGATTTTTGATAAAGCTCAAGTGATGACTGTGGAAAGGACGCAGAAAGACCTTGTAACCAATCGACACACTGTATGCAGTTGGAAGAGGTTTTTATGTTATATGTTTTGTGTGTTTGTGTTTGTTTGAAAATAAAAATTTTATTTAAAAAAATGGAAACAGGTTTTTTGCATTGTTTTACACAATTTACGCATTTTATGAATCAATAAAATAGCAAATGAGATTTTAGTGTACGGACAGTGTATGGAAAAATTTTATTCCATACATTGACATCAGGGGTGGGTTCTGGCAGGCACTACTGATGGTTTGCTTGTGGGCATGCACTTCACGCACTCGATGTGCACTGCGCACACATATGCAGTGCGATAAAAATCTCCTATGGCGCCGCCATAGGAGAACCAGTTCTGGGACTTAGCAGGCCTGGGTCATTGCCAATTCCAGGCTGCCAAACCACTACCGGTTCGGCTGAACCAGTCCAAACCAGTAGGAACCCACCACTGATTGACATGTTGTAAACTGAGATCTATTAAACTGAGTTATTTGATGCTATTTAATATATAATTTTACAACATGCTACATAAAAAAGCCTAAAGCCTGCCAGAGTTGAAATTACAATGAATAAGGTAAAGTATTAATTTATATACCAAATTTATCATCCAAAGATGCCTTTTGCTGCATTGCACATTTTTGGATATGTATGAATTAAAATTCTCTTCTCCCATACTCAATACAAATTAATACTTCCATTTTTTTCAATTAACAAATTCTATAATTGTAAATAAATTTCAATATAATGTGTAACTTGGGCTTAAGATATGCCTCTTTAAATATGCACAATATTTCTGAGATTAAATGCAATTCACTTAAAACAAGATACATTATTTACCTGTACTCTAATGACATTTTTATAATGTGTCACTATGTTGTCATGCTGTTCTAAAGTTTTTTTCACTTCTTCTTCCTTTTTATCTTCTTCACTTGATTTATAAACTGCCTTTGTTATAACTCCTGTAAAATGATTATTTGTAATATTAGACAATTTAAGTGAAATGTTGTAGCATTCTAGATGACTAGATGACTATAGAGATTAATAGTTTAAAGGGTGCCTTATCATTAATTTGATAATGCTATTTAGTATTTCTCAATCATTCAGATTGCTTTATTTATTATGCTAAAATATTCAGTATATCTTATACTGTTACTTTAAAATGAAAAAAAAGTTTGATAAAAATGTTCAATAAACAATGGATCGGGAAACACTTCTCAGTCATATTGTGGGTTAACCAATCCTGTTGCAATGTTTAACCCCCCCTCCCCCAATATCCCACTGCGCTTAACTCTCCCCAATTGCTTCACATTTAAATGAGTTCAATAAATACTAGTACAATAATACACCATAAGCATAATATATATATTCTGATTTCTGTGAAGAAATATGAAAGCCTCCTAAAGAACAAACTATTTTTTCTCAAGCCTTCCGCCCAAAACTGAAAATGAAAAAAATATACAAAATATACATTTAAAGAAAATTGCTGTTTCAAAATATTCATATCAAATCATGAAATAGACAAATATGCAAAAGGTTTATCTCAATATAAATAAAAATTAATTTTTCAGAAGTCAATGGAAAAATGAAGCAGAAAAAGCAGAGCCTGCTAAGGAACCCAGAAAATGAGACCGTGGAGTTCATGTGGCAATATTTGATTTGTGAGCTCTAGTGTCTCCTCTTCTCAACTTGATTTTCAGTTTCTTTTGAAACATTAGTCTTCTATATGTATCTATAATGTATAATTTACTTCATTTTGCAACAAAGTAAATGGTTTCTTCCACCTTTCTCAAAATTTTGCTAGGCCGATGGTCTTAACTACTTAAAATTAATGAAGAGATGCTACATTTCATTGTATTCAGAAATCTACGCCTCCATTGATTACAAACTTTCAAAAATTAAATTAATATACTTTGCTTGATACTTTTTAAAAATAAGAAATTGATCTCTTTCCTCTACATGATCCAATAATAAAGGCTGCAAATGTATAATTTTTCTGTTATTTTTTTTCTCTGAATTCTCAACTTTTTCATCAGAATTTTCAGAAATTGTATACCTTTAATCTATATCATTTTTTTAAAAAGAATTATAACTGCTGGTAAAATGTACTTTCTCCTTTTTCAAATGTAACACTTCAAGAAATAAACAAATAAAACCAGGAGAAATGATGTAACAAGTCTCACCTTCCAGTTCTTTCACCAGCTTTGTAAATTCATGATCAAACATCATATGATCAGGGCTAGAAAAGTTTGGCTGTGGTTTCTGAGCTGCTCGGGAATAGAATTCATGCTTGCTAATAAATGTCAATTTCTCAATAAAAATTTCCTTTCCAATCCTTTTTTCTATAAGCTGCTTTAGTTTTTCTCTAAAGGGGAAACAAAATTATATAATAATTCTAGCTGGGGAAAAATCCTCTTTTTAATCATATCCCTGCCCCTCAAAACCTTATGGTTCTCTTTAATAAACAGAGGATAGAGAAAAAGAAGATTATCAGGTAAATAGTATGCAATAAGCCAAAATGATGAGGAAGAAAAAAATGATGCCTTCAGATCTTATAGAGAAATTGATTTCAGTGTGAAATAAATTGAGACAAATTACAAAACAAAATCAAGCAATTTCAGAATATTGGAACTAATAAGAAAACAATGATAGTTGAAAAAAAGAGTTATGTTTTATTTTGTTTTTTCAAGCCAACAGTATTTTTAAATATCACTGGAGAAACTCAGCTTCTAATTCCAAATGACATTTTTTCAATTTCAAACCTTTGGGGCATAAAGTCTATAACAAATAATAAAAAAGCATGTGTTTGCCTTAATTTATATGGAAAGCTCATCTATTTCCTAATATAGTATTTACAATGCAAAATATATTAAATGCAATATGAATGCCAATATACTCACTTTTTATAATTCTCAAGTGAATTGTCATTGTAATAAATGGAGATTCCTAGTAATAGAGCACACAATCCTTGAACCAGCTGCTCCTCTTCTCCGAGGTTTTCTGCTATTTGTCCTGTTAGCTATATCTTTGGCTAAGGATACTAGAGACTTAAATCCTTTTCTTTGGATCATATTTTAGATTAAAAAGGTAACAATTTCCTTGATTTATTTTGACTGAATGGCTATGTCAATGCAGATATCTTAACATCTACTTGTATGTTCATTTGTTAATTTATTCAATTTCTATGGCACCCATCTCATTCAATGACTCCGTACCAATACCAAGTGGCTTACCACTGTCTTCTTTCATAAAACTTACTGATTTACCAACCTGGCTACGGCTTTTGGACTTCCTGGGAGCTTCTCTTAGTGCTAACTTAACTTTTCATCATCAGCTTATCTTGAGCCAGGTTTTTATCTTAATAAGTTAACTGCAAAACAATCCTTTGTTTAGTTATTTAATCAAAGCAAATTTAATGAACATAGTTATTATACCCTAACAGAAACATGCAGCATATCAATTTTAAGAGAGGAAAGTGAAAATCTGTTTATGAGAACAATGTGAGATATTTTAATAATAATAAATGTAAAAATTGCAAACATTTGCTACATCATTTAAAGAAACATTTCTTTTAGTGAATTGTCACTTCTCTCCTTCAATCAAAACTTTATATATTTACTACAGTGAAGCATTAAATGGTAATTCTTTTAAAAGGATACAAATGGAATATTTGCTGAATTGTGAAGAAAATGTGTGACAGCGATGGGGCAATTGCTTAGCCATGTGCAAAGCAGCATTAATAATCCAACTCTTGTCTGCACTTTGCTTCCCTGGAAAACAAGAAAATAAATGTTATCTCTGTTTGCATCACTTGTATATATTGCCTCATATTTTGATTCATAATTTTCAAGGTCAACAATCAATCAATCAATCAATCAATCAAAACCATTCCCTAAAAGTGAGGGAGGCACAGGCCTAGGAGAAACTTGAAATACAATAAATATTCAGAACAAAATCTAGAATAAAATACCAAGGCAGCCTGATGAGAACTGTGCATCCTTAGTATTCGCAATTGGAAAAGAAGAGTGGGCTAGGGATTATTGCTATCAGCTTGAAAAGGAGGCTGAATTAAAGTGAATCTTGACTTTATTTTGCAGTAGCAATCCTATTTGGCTTACTACATAACTTTTATGATAGGCAACCTAATAACCAAACACATATTTGCTGTGATTCTGTGAATGGTACAGTTCAGTCCATCACTGACAGGATCTCTCTCCTACTTTTGCCTTGCTCAAGCTTTCTATATAACTAAAAAGACAAGACCATATAATAATTTAATACTACACTATTGAAGATGTTGGCTAATGAAACTTCTGCAAGAAAACTACCAAGCTCAGATAGCACCAAGAACACCACATTAAAAATAACACAAACCATAGCAGAATAATATAATTTTAAAAAGGAAGATTATGAACTAAAGATGGATAGGGAACTGAATTACAAATATTCAGTATACCCTTATTATCTATTGCTGCACTCTGTGTATAGCTGCACAAAATTTAGTTACATTTTACGCACTAGCAGGCTGTCTACCTCAAAATAAAAAGATGAGAAGGCATGCATCTGGTTACCCGAAAATTTATTTAAAAGGAATAATAAGTTTATTATGTAGATCCAGGGATGGTTTTCACTTACCTTCCCTATCGGTTTGCAAATGTGCACGGACACATGTGCACTCACTTCGTTCGCAAGCGCCCTGTCCACACATGCACTCAGCCTTTGTGTATGTGCTTTGCGTAAAAAAATCCCTAAATAGTACAAAATAGAGCCAGGGAGGATGGGCGGACCCACCCATGATTTCCACTATTGGATTTTGGGTGAACCAGACGGAATTGGTAGAATATCATGTCTGTGTAGATCTATACAGAATTTATGGTACAACAAGACAAACTGTGTCAAGAGTAAGATTGGATGAAATTCACTTAACAACCATCTTCCTTAGCAATTGAAATTTTGGCTCAATTCTTGTCATAAGTTGAAGACTTGTATATGAGGGCAAGTATGACATTATTTCCATTACTGAAACTTGGTGGGATGAGACCAATTCTGGAACGTACAGGTAGAGAGATTCAAATTGTTCAAAAGAAATAGTAGAATAAAAGAAGTAGAGTTGCACCGTTTAAAAGAAATAACTATACCAATATAGATTTTTTTTTAAAGGATGAAAATCTTCTTGAATGCATTTGGGTTAATATAAAAGGGAAAAAGGAATGATATTGCCATATCTGTATACCACAGGATACCAAATCAATCAGAGGAAATAAACTTTTTGCTAATGTGCAGAAAGCACACTAGAATAGTAATGGGAAATTTTAACTATCCCAACATCTATGGGAAGACAAACTCTGCACCAAGTGGAAAATCAAACGGATTCCTGACAAATCTAGGAGACAACGTTGTCACCCAAAAGGCAAGAGGCAGACACTAGAGGTCAGCTATACTGGACTTAATATTTAGTAACAGAGATGAAATGACAGAAGGGATTTACGTTGCAGGGGAAGGTAAACATGTCATGTTGGAATTTAACATAACCCAGGCACAAGCAAAGTCATACTAATGTTTTAGAAGGATTCCATAGATGAACATTCCAAAGGAAAAACAAATCAAGAACCTCTGAAAAATGAGAGTATAAAAACCCAGTCTATCACTGAGAAAGAAAAATAAGAGAGACCCTAGATGAAACCAGCATGGTTGCATAAGGAACTCTTTGATGAACTGAAAGACAAAAAGGAGAAGTCAGAAAAACTAAAGTTCGGAACAAACTAAACTTGAATAATATAGATATTATTCAATATTAAAAATGGGAAAGTTAATTAAGCAATATATATGCAAACATCTAGAAACAAGCAAAGTTGTTACCAGAAGCCAAAAACTGATCATGTCAGATAAACCTTACTGTATTCTTTGACAAAGTGACTAAGTTACTGGACCAGAAAATTACTGTGGATATAATATACTTGGACTTCAGTAAGACATTTGACAGCACAGACCACAACCCTATTACTGTGTAAGATAGAAAAATGTAGGATAGATAGAATCTCCACTAGATGAATTTTAACTGGTTAAATCAACCACACTCAATTTGTAGTCCTCAATGGAACGACATCTATATGGTGGGAAGTACTCTTCAAAATCTTCCTAAAGAATTTAGATGAAGGGGTAGAAGAGGAAGTCATCAAATCTGCAGAGAACACCAAATTGAAGGGAATAGCCTTAGCATAGCTTTTAGAACATAGGTTCAGGATCCAGAAAAATCTTGAGAGATTTCAATAGTAGATCCTATCCAACAAAACTATTTCTATCTGGTTTTGATATTTAAAAAAATCAGTCTTTTTACTTTAAATAGTTTTTATTAGCAATAGATTTTGCAATTGCATTTTGTCAATTGTATTTTTGTTTATTTATAGCCTATCTTTACTATTTACAAATAATGCAGCAAATATATCCAACGTATCTTCTACCTCCTATTTTCTCCATATAATCCTGTGAGGTGAGTTAGGCTGAGAGAGACTAGCAGCCCTAAGGTCACCCAGCTGGTTTTCATGATTAAGATAGGACATGAACTCATGGTCTCTTGCTTTCTAGCCTGGCACTTTAACCACTAGATCAAACCGTTTTGTCTTTCTGTTCTTCTGTTCCATTTATAACTTAAGCAAAAAAACTTACAAAATGTAAATGCATTCAATATATACATTTTATTCTGCATGGTCAGCAGAAATACTAATCAAGGAGAGTGAATCACTCAATAAAACAAAATTTAATCTGAAAATAATGTAATTAAAAGTAGGATGAATACTAGTACCATGAATACATGGTTTGGAAACATCACAATTTTTTTAATCTTCTATCTGGTTATGAAAAGAAAGTACTCATTAAATTTTGTAGAAAACAAATACTGAATTTACACTAAAAGAAGACAAAAGAAGTCAAACTACATTTAGTACCCACTGGTTATGCAAGGACTCCTGGGAGAAAGAAAAAGCACCCATAACAACCATGTTCCCTTGTCAGTCACCAAAAACACCATGAGATAGACAGTTTGTTACTAGAAATAACACCAAGCAACAGGCACAAACTGTGAGTACAAAAAAACCCACCCTCAAACAGTTAATTCATAAAACAAAGCAAAGCTGAGATAGCAGATAGACCCTGCTACAATGAAAGGAACGCCTTGAGTTCATCAATACATACCCGTCTGTCGATCTTATCACCCTGTGAACCATACATTAAATATTACAAGGGAATGCTACAGGATATTAAAATCACTACAATACTGTACAGAGGTAAGTTGTTTTCGATTTTCATTAATCTGAACAATTCTGCGACTATGTATATGAATGACATAGAAGTGTACACATTTTTTTAAAAAACAAATACCAATATCAGTTCCTTTTCAGAACAAATATTTTTGAATGAGATGAAAAATTAATACTGAAATGTGTTGTTATGTATAGTTTAACATCAACCAAATGATGTTTGCTTGGTTTATGGGGATTTTACTTCATTTAAATATTTATTTGTTTTCAAATCTGTTTGCATACAGTGGAATGAGGTTAATAATAATTTTCCATGCTGCTCTGAAGGAGGAAAATGTTATTTACTGTATTAAAAATATGCAATAAAAATCATTTTCCTCTATCCTAAATGTATACACAAATGTTTGAAGCATACACATGTTCTACAAACTAATAACAAAAGGATTGAAAATCAATGTAAAGACCATTTACATTGGTATTTTGTATTATTTTACATTATTGATAAATTCATAAGAAGTTAAGTCCACATGTGGTCTCAATAAGTGGCCAAGGTTTTTTGTACACATTCGTTTCTTGGTTTCATACATTCAAGGTTCAAATATTTACCATTGCTCTATGAAAAAAAACAAAGCACATGCTATTTTTGCCTTACCATTTAGTCCCTTACTTCAGTTTTTACTTCCTTCAAGGATGTACCGTATATATCAAACAGATTACCCATGCATTTCTGATTCTTTACAGTCTGATTCTTTACAATATGCTTTCCCTTTCCTTATTGAGTTCAAAGCATAACAAACACTCCTCCAATATTTCCTCTCTATAGTTCTATGAGATAGACTGACAAAGCTTCCATAGCTGAGGACAGATTTAAACCTCGAGCTCCTTGGTCCAAATTCAGTGCAGTCACAGCACACTATTTTTTCCATATATTTCCATATATGTTAGGCACAGACATTACTTATTCCCAGCAAACAACTAGTTCTGATAATTCCAATCATTGGTTCTATCCCTATATGCTTATTAGAATTAGCACAAAGTAATGGAAAACACTATATATTAAAAGCAATAGTTTGTGCCAAGAACATTTAATAGTGTTTTATGGTTTGCTAAATGTAATAATCAAGATATTTTATAACAACTCTCTTTTTACAAATGTTTCTTTATGGGCACTTCTAAAAGGATTCAGAGATATGCAAGTTACAGGTTCATATGCTGTACCTGAGACAGAATGTTAGTGCACTGCTGAAGTAAGGACACTGGAGGATTTCCAATACTAGTGGCTAGCTGTACCCGTAGCAGCTGTTCTTTTAGAGTGGCATTTTCTTGCAAAGCATGGGCCAATGCCACAGCCGCACACCAATTTGAAACAGAATCTGTAGAAAAGAGTCCTCCACAAAGAAGTTGGCCAGCTGAGACAGAATTTCCAGTAGCTGTAAAATAAGCAGTCAATTTATTGACAGGATTATTTCAGACATGTTCACCTATATAAAGCGTTTGAAAATACCCGGGAGATATCTAATGCAGGAATGTTTAGACCTTGATAGGGGGCTTCGGAGTATAGCCAATTGAAATGATAAGAAAAACAATATGCGGGCCAATTTTGAGCAGCTATGCTGGAGTTGTATGCAGGAGTTGTTGGTCTGCTATCAGCAGGATTTTGTACTTAAACTGAAATATCAAAATTAGAAGATTAGAAAATTTCTAATGTTTAGACCAATGTTTAATAAACTATGGAAAAGTTAACTTATATAATAACATGTACTGAAGGATATGCTGACCTTAAAGATGTATATAATGTGTGGCATCCATGCAAGAATTCCTCAGGACATTAAGAATACCCAGAGCAAATAGTAGATCCAACCCCCTACTCAAGCAGGAAAGCCTATACACGTGATGGCAAATCTATGGGACACATGCTGGAAGTGGCATTCAAAGCCATCTCTCTGGGCACATGAGCCGTCACCCATTGCTCTTCCGGGTTCCGGCGCGCTGGCCAGCTGGTCTTCACACGTGCGTGAGCTCCGAAAATCAAAAGAGCAGCCACCTGGTGCATATATGCGCTGGGAAGGTAATCTTCCGGTTTCCGCATGCACACTGGCCAGCTGATCTTCGCATGCACATGTGCACCAGAAACCGGAAGACCAGGTGGCTGGTGTGCATACACATGCTGGAAACCAGAAGATCATCTTCCCGGCGCACATAGGCATACTGGGCAGCTGTTCTGGTTTTCAGCACTTGGTGCCGAAAAGGTTCGCCAACACTGGCCTATACCATTTCAGACAAATGGCTGTTCAGTTTCTTTTTTTTAAACGTCCAGTGATGGAGCATTCACAACTTCTGGGGGCAAGCTATTCTATTACTCCCCTCACCATTAGGAAATGTCTCCTTAGTTTTGGTTGCTTCTCTCCTTGGTTAGTTTCTATCCATTTTTTCTTATCTTGTCTTCTGGTGGTTTGGAAGATAGTTTCCTTGTCTTTGTAGGAGTCCTTCAAATATTGGAACACTGCTATCATGTCCCCTCTAGCCCTTCTTTTCACCATACTAGACCTCCACAATTCCTGCAACCATTCTTCGTATGTTTTAGCTTCCAGAACCCTAAATATTTTTGTTGATCTTTTCTGCGCTCTTTCCAAAGTCTCCACTCTATCTATAATGTGGTGACCAGAATTGGATGCAATTTTCCAAATGTGGTCTTACTAAGGCTTTGTTAAGTGGAACTAGAATTTCATGTGATCTTGAATCTATCGCTCTAAATGCAGCCTAGGATTGCACTGGCTTTTTTGGCTGCACACTGTTGGCTCAAATATGCACCAAAGACAAATTCTTTGTGTGTCCAATCACACTTGGCCAACAAATAATTCTATTTCTATTCTATTTCTATTCAGTGATTGTCCTCTAGGACTCTCATAATTATTGGTAATTAATTACCTATATAATTGGTTTTTCGTGCCTAAGTGTAAAACCTTACTTTTATCTATGTTGAATTTCATTTTGTTAGATAGGGCCCATTATCAATAAATGTGATAATATTATGTATTATTATTGTGTTTGTTAATGATATCTTATTATGAGTTTTTTTTTTCCAGCACAGCAGGTAATAGAAAAAAAACCCCAAAGAAAGTTGCTGGGAGAGTCTAATGCCGCTTATTGATACTTTATTTTGTTAAAATATCATTGTCATTTCTGGAATCAAAAAGGGATTAAGTGAAATGAGCTTCACATTAAGAAAATAAAGTATTCTTCAACATTAAAGCAATAGAAGGATTTTCAAACAACTTACAGAAGCATTCAATAATATTTCTATTATGCCATTTCATGTGTTATTACAATAGTGCCAAGTTTGTTTCTGGAGCAATTGTAAATGAACAGAACTCGAAAACTCTACAATTACCACTTATAAGGAAAAGCCTCCTGAAAGTAAGTGGAATTTTCCTCCCTCCCCATAATCATGTAATTTTGCACTTAAAGTTAGAAGTAGGAATTTAACTTTCCAATACCGTACCATCAATGGTTGAAGGTAGAAGAGTTGATACAATTTCTCCTTGCCCTTTTTGGTTTTTGTATAAGAAACACTGGAAGCAATAAAGGACAGCACAGCGCAGGACAAATGGTTGTCTCTCATTTACCATTGACATAAGAAGTACAACAATTGCAGGCCTGTGGTTGAAAGAAGAGTCTTTTTTTACTTTAAGTCTGTATGCTTCCATAAAAATGTGGTTCATATGTACATAAAATTGATATACTAATAGGTAAAAGAAAATATATTAATTAATCCAAGTTGTCAGAAAACATATGACTCATTTTTGATTTTCTAATTCTTCCAAGTAATTACTTCATTTTACACATATTTTTTAATGTGGCTCTTCTTCCCAGGACAGCAATTTACAAAAACTATTTACACATAGAAGTCCGAGTTCAACGCTTGAGGTCTCCAAAAAGAGTAAGGAAGATGGCCGAGGGGCAACTAGAAATAATTACAACTCAGTATTACTTTTAGATCTGAACTTTCCTTTTAACTGCTTTTTGAACTTGATTCAAAAAGAAAATAACATAGTACTTTCTTTCTGATATTAAGAAACAAATGATTTGCAATTCATAGACCTCTGATAAAAATCATATTTGAGTATATGAAACAACTGTCAATACCACATTACTATGAGTGTACTTCTGGTTTCCTTGATGAAACAGATTATTTGGACCATTTGCAGTCAGGATTCAGGCCTGGCTATGAACAGAAATGGCATTGGTCACAGTTTTTGTGACCAATGATCTCTGATGAGAGCGGCATGGAGTAGCTTGTTCATCCTTGCTCTACTTGATCTACCAGCAGCCTTTGATACCATTGATGATGATATCTTTCTGAAATGGCTTTGGGGTTGCAAGGGCGGGGAACTGTGTTTCCTAGTTCACTTCCTTTCTTTAGGTCACTCTCAGTCGTTGTTGATAGGAAGCAAGAAGTCCAGCCTCACCCTCTGCTTTGCAGGGTCTAACAGGGCTTGGCACTTTCTCCACTTCTGTTTAACATATACATTAAGTCACTGGATGAGATTATCCACCAACATGGGTTGAAGGTCAATATGCTGATGACATATTGGGCTGAACAACATGGGCTGAAGGTCAATATGCTGATGATCCTCGAATTACTTCTGATAGAGTATGTATATTGCAGCCCATGGTGAGTTAAAACATATTGTGGCCTGTCTCTCGCAGTGCCTGGAGGCCGTAATGGGCTTAATGGGGAGCAACTGAAACCCTGGTAAGACAGAATGGCTCTGGGTTTGGGGTACTTCAATTCATGGGAAATTGCCATCTCTGATCTTGGATGGGGTTGCCCTGCCCCAAACAGACCCAGTGTTTGGAGTTTCTCCTGAACTCATGATTCCTGCTTGAAGAACAAGTAGCAGTCATAGTCAGTAGGGCCTTTGTGCAACTATAGCTCAGGAATTCTGGCAGTTGAAGTCCACACGTCATAAAAGGGCCTTAGTTGCTCACCCATGATCTAGTGTCACCAAGAAAGGCCTTCTCTGTGGTAGCCCCTGCCCTATGGAACATCATCACTACAGAAATAAGACCCTCATTTTGCAAACTCTTGAAAAAGGATCTCAGAGTGACATGGAGTCCATCAAGTAATTGATCTGATGTTGTGGCCAGGGGAAAGGTGTTATTAGTTTTGTATTGAGGCTTTATAGCTGTAAATTTCCCTGTATCATTGTGAGTGAATTGGGTGGCCATAGAAAATTTCTTAATAAATAAATCATGAAAACTCAGAATATCTTCAATATCAAATCCCATTTCTTATAATTAAATATTAACATTTCAAATTTTTATATCCGATTTACACCTAACTGTGTATCCTCCCTTAAACATTGATTTTTACACAAAGTTGCATTACATTTTCTTTAACATACCTTGGAGGATTTGAAGGTGCATTTACTGAAGCAAAGTAATCTTGATTCATTTGAGATCCTCGAATTACTTCTGATACAGTGTTAATGGTCTAGAAAATAAGAATTAAAGAACACAAAGAAATCAAACCTAATAGCTACAATGTCAGAATCAGGAATTGAATAATGAATTTATATTGAGTTTGTATCTTTGATTTATGCTACATTATACAAAATGCCCACTAATAGTATTTATATTTATTTATGAAAATACAATCGAATATTTTCAATTTCGATTCTCTGAATATATGAAAGTAACATGATTGCTGAACAGATTTAAGATTGGACAATATTTTATTACTTGTAACGCCACGCAATCAGAAAAATATGGAATTATTGAAAGTTCAGCAATTTTTGTGCATTTAGCTGTTTACATTGAATGAGTTGATACTCTAAAAGACAACTTTTACATGCTATCCTACAAAATCTGAAAAACAATGAACTGAATGACATCAGTCCAATTCACTTGCAAATGATATAAAACACCATAAAATATTCTAAAATGATATTATTCCCTAATAACATTGTTAAAATGAAGGTTATCTTTACAGAAATAAAAGAAGACCTGAACAGTTTGTCAAAAGTTTTCAATAATCCAAAATTAGTTAAATTTACATTTGAAACGATGAAGTTGAATCAAGCACAGGTAGTCCTCAATAGTGACCATAGACCATTTAGTGATCATTCGAATTTACAACAGCACTAAAAAAATTACTTATGACTATTTTTCACATTTACAACCATTATAGCAATTCCATGATCATATGATGAAAATGTAGATGCTTGGCAAGCAGTTTGTATTTATGATGGTCACAGTGTCTCAGTCATGTCATCACTTTTGCAACCTTCTGACAAGCAAAATCAATGGGGAGGCCAGATTCACTTAACAACTGTGTTACTCACTTAACAACTGCTGTGATTCACTTCACAATTGTGGCAAGAAAGTTGTAAAATGGGGCAAAATTCACTTAACAACTGTATCACTTAACAACAGAAACTTTGGGCTCAATTGTTGAGGATTACCTGTAATTAGGTGTCAATATTTTAAAGTTCTACGGAAATTTTAAAAACTTCAGTATTTCAGAAAAGGCTATGATAATTTCCTCTTGTTATCTGATCATCATCTTATCTTGCAACAGTTACTATTCTCTAGTATTTTACCTCTGTAAGAATATCAGCAGGAACTCCAGTTGCCATCAGAATTGTACAAAGCTGTTGTAATAACCCACAATGAAACATGGTTTTTTGACAACTGGTGGTGGCACCAGGAGGATTTGTAGGAGACACCAGTACACGTACCAGCTGTAAAAAAAGCAAACAATGATTTAGGTGTGTTGAAAATATCCAAAGCATCATTTTTAAATAACTTCAAAGATAATTCTATTCCATTTGACATTAGTACAAAATTAAATGTTACTTTATATGGATAAGAAATTACCTGAAGCATCAAATGTAAATTGGTTACTTTCTGTGCAGACCAACCAGCATTATCATCACCAACTTCAAACCATGGTTTCATACGCTGAATATAAGAACCTTCCTTGAAAAAATTCTGATTTGAATTGTTATTTTTCAACAAATTTTGTAGCAACAGAAGACAGTCCTCAACTACTATGCCTGCAAAATAGAGTGGTTAACAGACATTAATTTAATAGCTCTTATAAATCTGAACTATCTGAACTCATAACTATGGAATGAAAATGAAGATTTCAGGAACATACCTCCATCACTATTACCCTCATCTGTTATGATATCTAACAATCTTTCAAATGCATTTTCAAAAGCAACTATTTTCTGGATTGCTGCATTACTTTTTGTTAACTGCTGAAGTAACAAAACACCCTGGAGGAGAAAAGGGAGGGGGGAGGAGGCAAAATGTTCATTGCAGTTAAAAACAAAAGACAACAACCACCAATTGCAGACAAGAACCAGCATAAGTATATATTCCATAAAATCATTTAAAAGTTTATGAGAACAGTTGAATAAGAACCTTTCTCTCATATAATTTCATCTTCTGTTGCTCAAATCTCCTTTAACAAAAACAGAGAATGGAGGGGAAATAAGTAGTTTTGTAAAGTACTCCATCATGCAGCTTCTTCAAATGAGCCAGAACTTCTTCCTTACCTATATTTTAGGGTTTTTAATGCCACATTATGGAGTAAAAATAGTAGAATTGTACTGTTTTAAGTTAATTGTTTGAATAGCAAGGCTAAACTATTATACATTGTGGGCACCTAGTTTTTTTTTTAATTTACAGTGCCATCTCTTCTTCTATGGTTATATTTTAGAATTCTCTCTCAAATTATTAAATAAATAAATAAATATGAACTTGTAAATGGGAAGTTTTGGTTCCTGGACCTTTCTTTGTTTGAACTTTCCAAAGAATATAGACATGATTCATATATGATAAAGCAGCAGAATAGTGGCTGCTGCACCTGAAAACATATCTCTAACTTATCTAAAATTAGATAAGTTACCGTATTTTTCAGAGTATAAGATGCACTAGGCTATAAGACGCACCAAGGTTTTAAAGAGGCAAATTTAAAAAAATGTTTTTTTATACCACGCAAACCTCCCAAAAATGGCCCATTTTCGGAAAAAAAGAGGCCCTTTTTTTTTTAAGGGCATGAATAGCCCTTAGGAGGCTTGTAGAGTGTTTTTGGGGTGGGGGTGGGGGCAAAAAGTAGCAAAAAATTGCCTGTTTTTCATGAAAACCAGCCCAGGGTTTGTTGTTGTTGTTGTTTTTGCCAAAAAGGGCATTAGTGCTCCTGGAGGGCTGGGGGGGGGGGGGCGGGACAAAATTGAGCAAAAACCACTCATTTCTGCTCCCTCAGCCCCCAGGAGCTCTCTGAAAGCCTCCTACAAGCTATGCACCGCCATTTTGGTGAAGGGGCAAGGTTTTGGAAGGCAAAAAATGCTTTATTCAGTGTGTAAGACGCACCCCGATTTTCAGCCTCTTTTTTGAGGGGAAAATGTACGTCTTATACTCTGAAAAATATGGTAATATCTGTCTAGACATTTGTTAAAAATGCTTGAAAAATAAGAAAAGATTTTTTTTCTAACTATGCAAAATGTATGTCTAATAATTTATAAAATAAGGACAGCAATCACAACATGTAAATGAGTAAGAAATTATAAGATTTAGGGATGTGAAGTGCAAGGAAATACAGTTATAAGCAAAGAAAGTGTCATTTCAGATTAATAATTTTCTGTGCAAAACCAGAAGAAACTTGTTTATCAATTTACAATAAACCTGTCAATCTCTTATGATTTTCAGCATGAGATTAATTAAAAATAAACCTATTTTCTTCAAGCACAGTCTATAATAATCTACTCTGATTATATCATATTTTCAGTGAAATATAAATGCTAAAAAACACTGGGCTGGTTTTACAATTGAGAAAAGAATGACATTAATAAAATGTTGCATGAATGTAAAATATCTACTCACATCATTTCTTATGACTTCTCTAGAATCTGCTAGTAGATCCATTAACCTTGAGACTCCTAGAAAAAAAATGATAGATTTGAGTTTAAGGGAGAATTATCTATTTTAATCAGCCATGGACATTCAAGGTCTCAAGCAAAGCCTTATCTAATCTGGCCAGTACTGATTCTACTAAATTGAAATATCAAGGTTTGAATATATGAATTTCTACATTCATGTCATATGAGACATCATTAAAGTATAACCCCCTCTCCTCCCCATATTGTTTTCTTGATAAATTAAGAAACTTTTTAATGGCTTGTTAGCATTCAGAGAATAAAAAATAGTACAGTCTATGTGTTTCTTGTACCACTGTAACCTACCTTAATATTCTGACTAGAAATATGACTACCAGAAATATGGAAAATTATGCTCAACTTTTGAATCAAGTGAAGCTAGAGAGTACAATTAATCCTATCAATGGAATGGCAAGCAAGAAACATATTTTAATAATGTACAGCAATGAATTAACTTTTTCATAGACAAGAACAGGTTGTCCAGAGTATAACAGTAAAATCCATGGTAGATTATTACAATACACTACATACATAGCACTGAAAATCTAATTCATCCATCATCTTAATTATCAGATTCTTTAGGCAGCCACTATGAATAATAATTCAATTGCCATATTCTGTAATAAACTAAATTTAGTTGAGCAGCTATTGTACAATCTTTAGTTCTGAAACAGATAAGACAGGTTCTGGGCCCTAATCAAGAGGTTGTCCCAGAGGTGCTTTTTCCAAAAGGCACCTAGACTTTATTTTCTCTTTTGAAAATGTTTTGCTTCTCATCCGAGAAGCTTCTGCACTTCTAACTAATGGATGGGGAATGGAATGATTTATATTCTTTGCAGTCACCTGTTAGCATTTTGAGGGTTAGTTGTTACCACTCTGAGAGTCCTTGGACCATTTGGATGGTTACCTGTAGTCACCTGAATCAGAGTGTAAATGGATGTGGAACCTTCTTGGGGCTGCTGAAAGGACTGCTTTGTAAACAGGTGATGTTGAATCCTTTCCCCCTTTGTTAAGGGCTATTCAATATTAACATACATGAACTCTTTTGACTCCACTTTCAACTAGTAATCCTCTAAGTCCAATATGTGAATTTTGCTGTGTTCAAATAGTGACCTTTTCTTTCAGATTCAAATGGATTGCTGACTCCTGTCGTAATGAATTGATTCTCCTGTATTATACCATGTGTTTGTGAAGTGGTTGTTTGATTTCCCAATGTACAGGTCTACAGATGTCTCTCTGCATTGCACTGCATATACCACATTGTATTGTTTGTGAATGGATGTTTTGTCCCTGGGGTGGACAAGTTTCTGTCTTAATGTATTCCTGGATTTAAAGTGTGCACATATGTTGTGTTGATTGAAAATCCTCCTGAGCTTTTCAGATATTCCTGCAAAGTATGGAATGACAACATTGCTCGATTTGTTATTCTCTTCTTTGTTATGAAAGAGCTGCTGCTGGATCCTTTTGAGGTTTTGATGAAGGACCAGTTTTTATAGGGAATCCTTGATGTGTTTTTTTCTTTCTCTTTTTTCTCAGGTGACTTTGAGGATACAGAAAAACTCCCAATTAGTCTCAATGTCTTTTAGAGAGCTAATGACCAATCATCAAAGGGCTAACAACCAGATAACTGCAAACAATATACATTCTTCCATTCCTCACCAGTCAATCAGATCGAAGAAGCTTCTTGGATGAGAACAGAAACAATTTCAAAGGGAAAAAAAGTTTGGATGCATTTTGGAAAAAGCAGGTTTGGAACAATCATGACCTGGATGTTTGAGAATCTACATAGAATCTCTCTCTTTCTCAAGGATGTTATTAAATAACATCTTAATTGGTTTTGGAACACAATTCCAAAGCTCCCAGCTCTTGCCCCATACTGCCTGCCCACACTGCCTGAATCAGGGTATTGTTTGATCCAGAATAGAGACTCCTATATTGCAGCATTTCATTACTCAATTATGGTCTTCAAAACATATGCTTATTATTACTCTTATCTTTTCATACTACAGAAAACATTATTTACCAGAAAGTAATGCTAATGATTTTAATTTTTTTATCAATTGTTTTGGATATCTGTTTTTATTCCTGTATGCTGCCCAGAGACACCATGTGTGAATTGGGCAGACATATAAATGTGTTTAATAAAAATATAACTAATAAATAGCTATTACATTTAAAAATAGATGTAAAGGTTTAAAAATACTTACCCATAGGACTGACTAAGATTATCTGCTGCACTTGGGGACCCTGCTGTTTTAACAATACTGTAAGAAGTTTTACTCCAGGCCACCGGACATGAAAGTCAAACTCCTGCAATGATCATATATTTCATTGATAAAGTATTAAAGTTTTATTGTGGCAATAGTGCAATGCAACAGTTCTAAAGAAGCTAGTATTTATATTTTTATCTGGGGTTAATAACTAATAAACTATTGATTGATATATTACGGTACAAATCTGCCAAATAATTAATGTCAAGCAATAGCAATACCTAAAAAGCTTTTCTCAAGTAATTTAGATTAGTTTATAAGGAAAAAGTTTCAGGTAAAATTAAGAAGGATATATACATGTGAAATTAACTTGTTGTACTCATAACAAATTCCTGAGATGAATAGCCCAGGCAAACTATTTCTTAATTTTATCCAAATAAAATTTAAAATCAAATTAAGTTCATTGCTTCACCATATGGTCAGTGCTCCAGATTCTTAGAGCTACCCTGAATTATTCCTACAACATAGATGTGGGCTAGGGAAGAAAGCAAAGAATGTAAACAGAAGATTGTGGCAGCTTGTTATAACTGTCTCAGATGGAAGAGGAGGAACAAATGAGATATACAGGATTCCAATCCAGTATTTCAAATATGGTCCACATACCACAGGGCTCATGCATTATTATTTTTTTGGTAGCCCTTGGAATGCCTCAAAAATTACACATCTGAAAAAAATAGATGTGCAGTATCTCTGTTTTCTGGTTAAAATGTAAACAGTTAAATTTGTTTGAATAATTGGTTGAACTGAAAATACTCAAGTGAGTAATCAGAATCAAAAGGAAGCTAAATTATCCTTCATTTTATGTTCACTCTTCTGTACAGGATAGTAGTGTAGCATATGAAGAGAAATGCAATCACAATGAGGATCTTTCCCTAATTTTTTTTCACTATAATCCTTTCCTACTAACTTTTATTAATTGGCTCAAGTGAAGTAGGTAAGTAGGTTTTGTCCCATCCCCTGCTTCCAACACACACAAATTTCATGATTTCTTGCAAAATGTCTCTTTCAAATATGTATTAGACTGAAATGGTTAACTGGGAATGCTGTACAAATGTACTCTATGAATTTTTGAGTTGTAAACTTTCACAGATCGAAACAAATTGGCCCCTAACTCTTATTCTTGAAAGTCCTAGAAATCAGGAGAAGATCAGAAAAGATTAGTTTCTGGTGCACCACCCAGCTCTGACATACTGGCATATTGCATACAACACTTTCCTGTCCACCCCACCCCCGTTTTCTTTCTGACCTTCACAATGCAGACAATGTGGACAAATTGAAGAGAAGTGGGAAACATGATGAACATTACCAAATCATTGGGCAAAGACAAGATCATGGAACATGTGAAAAGTCCAGTAACTTATGCAATCCACAATAACCAAGAGGAAAGGAAAACTTATGGAAGAAATGAGATGCTGTTCAGCCTAAGGACTGAATATTATTAGCATCAGTGGCGTGTGCCCCTTAGCCCAATATTGATACAGAAGGCTGCTAAAAGCTTGTTTCACGACTTGTAACAGGAGACTGGTAAAAGCATTGCTGAAGATATATTTGTTGGAAGTCATCATTGGATCCTGAGTTTTACGGATTGGGTGCACATATAATGTGAAAATGAGTGGAGGGACAGCGAGTGTGTGGATGAGGATGCATCAGGAGTGGGTTCTGGGCGGCTTTACTGCCAGTTTGCTTGAATGCGGGCATTTTTTGCTCGTTTTTGCCCTCCCCCCAGCCCCCAGGAGCACTCTATAAGCCTCCTAAATGCTGTGCATGCCCTTTTTTAAAATGAAAAATGGGCCTGTTTTTGTGAAAAATGGGCAGTTTTTGGGAGGTCTGCAGAGTACAAAAACTTTTTTTTTTAATTTGCCTCTTCAAAATCTTGGTGCAGCTGATACTCCGATGCGTCTTATACTCTGAAAAATATGGTATGTATTTGCTGTGAAATGTCTAATTCTAGCTATAGCGGGCAATAGAATAATAGCTTATCTCTGTTCAAAAGTTTTGAAATAATCATCAACATTGATATAAAATGCTCTTGAAAAAAGGTAGTCCATGACTTGTAACCATTCATTTACTTACCATTTGTAGTTAAAACAATGATGAAAAAAAGTTATTTACAACCAATGCTTGCACTTATGACCACAGCAACATCCCCCTGGCCATGAAATTAAAATCTGGGTGTCAGGCAAATGGCATGTATTTATGACATTTGCAGCATCCCAGCATCATGTGAATATCATTTGCAACGTTCCCAGCTGGCTTTTGACAAGCAAAGTCAATTTGCCAAAGTGGATTTCCTTAATGACTGCATGATTCACTAAACAACTGCAATAACTTGCTTAACAATCCTGGTTAAAAATGTTGTAAAATTGGGTACAACTCACATTGACTGCCTTGCTCAGCAATGGAAATTCTGATTCCAATGGTGATCGTAAGTACCTATGTACACTACCCTGTAACAGCAGTAACTGTAAGAGGGATCTAGGAGTTCTAGTGGGAACCACTTAAATGTGAGCCAGCAGTGTGCTGGAGTTGTCAAAAAAGCCAATGTAATCCTAGATTGCATCAATAGAAGGATAGTTTCAAAAATCACATGATGTATTAGTACTCTTTTATACTGCCTTGATAAGACTACACTTGGAATACTGTGTCCAGCTTTGGTCACCACAATACAAAAAAAAGAAAAAAAATTGAGACTCTAGAAAGAGTGCAAAGGGCAATAAAGATGATTAGAGAGCTGAAAGCTAAAATGTATGATAAACTGTTGCAAAACTGGGAATGTCTAGTCTAATGAACAAAATTCAATTTCAATTCAAAATAGAATTGGAAGGAACCTTTGAGATCTTTTAGTCAAACCCCTTGCTATACCATTTCAGGCAAGTGGCTGCCAGTGTCTTCTTAAAAACCTCCAGTAAAGAAGCACTCACAAATTTTGAAGGCAACCTGATCCACGGTTAATTGTTCTCATAGTTAAGAAGTTTCCTCTTAATTCCAAGCTGCTTCTCTTCTTGATTAGTTTCCCTCCATTGTTCCTTGCCCTGCCTTCTGGTGCTTTGGAAAATAAGCTAACCCCCCTCTTCTTTATGGCAGCCTCTCAAATACTGGAATGTTGCTATATTGTCACCTCTAGTCCTTCTTTTCTCTGGACTAGGAGTGTCAAATTTGATTTCATTGAGGTCTGCATTAGGGTTGTGTTTGACCTCAGGAGGCCGGGGTGGGCCTGGCTAGAGTGGGCATTGAAAACGGGTTCTCGAGCTCTGTTTTTGGCTGCAGTGGCATCCTGCAACCCTCTACCAGCGAAAATGGAGTTTGGGAAGGCCACACATGGCCCACACATGTTTGCATTGTCAGAGGCACCACAGGCCTAGCACCCCGCAGGTATTAGTCTATAGTTAGTCTAGAGTAGGGACATCCCTGCTCTAGACTAACAATAGCCAAATTTTGCAACCATTTTTTGAATGTTTTAGTCTCCAGGCATTTAATCATCTTAGTTGCTCTACTCTGCACTTTTTCCAACGTTTCAACATCAACATCGAAGCCTCAAAATTAAGGACTAAGAGTGGCATAATAACAGTCTTCCAAAATTTGAAGTGCTGTCACAGAGAACAGATGGTAAACCTATTCTCCAAAACACCTGAGGACAAGACAAAAAGTAAGTTTAGCAAAAGGATATCAATTCTAAAATTAAGGAGCAATTTTCTGAACAATTAATCAGTGAAATGGTTTGCCTCCAGAAGTTGTGAGTACTCCATCACTGGCGATTTTAAGAGACTGGACGCCATTTGTCCAGAATAATATCCCTGCTTGAGCAGAGGGTTAGATTAGAAGGGCTCCAAGGGTCCTTTCAATTTTTTTTATTCTGTTATATTTTATTTATGACAATGTCACTCAGTTAAATGACATATTTATTTAATAATTTAAAAAAATTCTCACCTCTAAATAAGTCAACAGAAGAGTGATATTTTCATGTTGCTTAATGAAAATTTCAGTAAACTGACTTCCAAAATCTTCTGTTTGTTTCTGTGAATTTTCTTCTGTAATATTAAAAATAGTACAAATCAGAGGTCTCAACAAAGATAGTTTAAAGAAAATATAATATAGATATTAAAAAGTGAAATTGAACAATTACACACATACACACATTTCATATTATACAAATATGAATTCTAAAGACGGTAGTGTAATTATAAAGAATCTTGGCTGAATGATGCTTTAGGCCAGTGATAGCTAATCATTTCCGGAGTGAGTGCCCAAAGCGGGTGTGTGTGCATGCCAAAAAACCCAAAATGCAATGTGCGTGCGTCTACCCCTGCACATGCCCCACCACCGTGTAGGCATGGGCCATGGGACTTTATTTCAGGACTTTAGGCGTTATAGTTTATAGACTTAGTAGTAAATGCCAAAGAAAACAAACCCAATGAACTATTAAATAAATATTCAAAAATATAACAATGCTCTATCTAAGACTACCTTAACTATTCATATTCAGTAAAAGACACACTAGTTGAATTTCGTAAACAGGAATCTCTTAGGCAAAAAACAATTTCATCGCATATTTTTTAAGTTCAAAAGCATTTTCTGAATGAATCATTTATTAAATAATGTACTGTATAATTTCTGCAAGTTTCCTATTTTCTGTGGGAGGGGGGCATTCTAAAGAAGGTAGTGTAATTATAGAGAATATTGGTTGAATGATGTTTTAGGCCAGTGATGGCTAATCGCTTCCAGAGTGAGTGCCCAAAGCGGGTGTACGTGCGTGCCAAAATCCCCAAAATGCAATATACATGCGGCTACCCCTGCATGTGCCCCAACCCGTGCAGGCATGGGTACCTCCCCTCGCATGCATGCCAGAGACCCAATGACCAGCTGGCTGGAGGGAGGCACACACGCATGCATGGTGGAACTGAACTAGGGCAATGGCTCACGTGTCCAGAGAAGGCGCTGCATGCCACCTGTGGTATGTGTGCCATAGGTTCGCTATCATGGGTTTCAGCTCAGTTATGATGAAAACATTAGATGTGGATATAGATGAGGGCAATGTGTCCTTTTAGATTCCTCAGCAGCATTTGATATCATGAACTAGTACCCTTCTAGATTGTTTATGAAAGTTAGCATTGTCTTATAGGGGTAGTACGCCTTCAACTTCCAGCAAGTGAGGGAACCATAAATTTTGAGGATAAAGGTTCATTCTCTGAGCTTGTGGGTTGGTTTCTGAATGTTTAGTTACCAGGCTGGGTAACATCTTCAGCTGAGTTTAGAGGATGCCATTGTCAGTGTTTTTTCTGTTTATAAGGGCTTCAGGTATGGGTGTGTCAAGTGAGGGTCTTGTGATGGGTCAGCTGTGAGTCATCAGTGGTTTTTGTGATTGGTCTTGTGATAAGGAGATTTCATGAGGTTAGGGTCATTGGGAAGTGAATTGCTGGTGGGAGGTTGCAAGAGTTGGTTGAGGGTTGATGCTGTCTCTGATTGGCTGTGTGGTTGATTTGGATTCTGAGGGGTTCGTGGATTAGTTGTAGGTCAATGAGTCTGTTGATGGAATTACTTGTGGAGTGCCAGGCTTCAATGAACTCACGAGCGTAGCAGGCGGTAGCGTGGCTGACAATTTTTGTGTTGTTCCAATTGAACTAATACTGTTTGGTGTCGGTGTGGAGAGAGACTAACAAAATGTTCAGAAACCAACCCATAAGCTCAGAGAACAAACCTTCATCCTCATCCTACACCTGAGCTACAGATATTTGCCACTATTACATAGATTTTGGTCAATAATCATATGAAACTTTTGGGCGAAGTTGTCATTTAGTTTGCAATGGAGAGCATATGCAGTGATAATTGAAGATGTAAAAGATACTTGTTAAACATCTCTGATCTGGGCCAAGCAGGAGGTACTTTGGATTTCTTTGTTGTATGTCTGATATGTACAAGGGACTGGATGAGATGAAATAAAATCTACACAAGTCCTAGTAATAGAGTTTACCACTGCATGACTGAATTACTATAACTCTATTTCAGACCTTAAAGACTTAGAACAAAATGGAAAATCTAGTTGACATAAATTGTGGAATTTATTTCATAACTATGGAATATTTACCCTTTAAGTACAAGATAAACACCCATTAACTATGCAATAAATATGCTACATACCACTGAACACAAAAATGTATTGCTAATTAAATTAAATTGATTACTATTAGTCATTATAACAAATAATACTAAATTGTAAAAGAGACTAGAATGTCCTCCGTGACCACTATTTCCAATTTTTTCAGTGGAAAAACAAAGGAGAGCTGTCAACTATATTTACTGAAAGATTGACTCAATGTTTACAGTACAATTTTTAAAAACTAGTGTGTGGTAGAGGAGACATAATGTGAAAAATAAAGAAAACACTAGGGACATGAATACTGTACTACTGATCTTATTCTCATATCAATGGGATTAAATTACCCCTGCAAGTCTTGTCTATACAGCAAGTCATATTTCTTTCCAATTTTATGCATATACTGGTGCTTGCTAACTGCCTAGAATAGTGATGGCCAACCTTGTTTGGATTCTGTGCCAAAAGCAGGGGAGTTGTGCGTGGGCGTGCCTCCCCCATGATGCTATGCAAGTGCCACCCCACCCCACCCCTTTTGGCATGGTTTTTTCGACCTCCACAGGCTCCAGAGACTTTCTGAGGGCAAAAACAGGGGAGTCCTCACCTCCCCGGAGGCCCTCCGGAGGCTTCAGGGGCTTCCAGGGCCTCCAGAGGGAGAAAAACAGCCCTAAGGGAACCCAGAGATTCGGGATTGGTGACTTCTAGATTGTCCGTAGGGCTGTTTTTCAACCTCTGGAGCTCTCAGGAGGCTTCCCTGAAGGCCTCAGAGGGTGAAAAAAGGCCTTATGGAAAAAACAGACTTCCAGTTTGCTCATAGGGCCATTTTTTGCCCTCCAGAGACTTCAGGGAAGCCTCCTGAAGGTTCTGGAGGGCGAAAAAAGGCCCTACAAGCAAACTGGAAATCTGTTCCCAAACTTCCGGTATGCCTATAGGGCCAGTTTTTCGCCCTCTGGAGACTTCAAGGAAGCCTCTGGAGGGCAAAAAATGGCCTCAAAAGAAGGCTGAAGTCAGCAAGCCAGTGCGCACATATGCACTGGAGTTGACAGGGCAATGCCTTGCGTGCCCTAACAAATGGCTCCGCATGCCACCTATGGCATGCATGCAAGAGATTTGCCATCACGGGCCTTGAGTATGACCCTAGCTGAAGAAGCTTCTGGGATGAGAAGCAAAACGTTTTCAAATAAAAACAAGAAAGTTCAATTTCCCCTTGAAAAAGTACCTTTGGGATGACTATAGTGTGCAACAATTTACCCACAAACAAAGGGCAAAATAAGAGATATTATAGAGCGCTTATAACCATGTATACAGGCTTTTGATCCAATGAAGTATCTCATTTGATTATATAGATTCTCAGCCTACTAATAGATATAAAAAGTTAATCCTAGGGCATTTTCTGCTGTACTACAGAGTTACTTTTCTGGTCAATGTCTATGCTATCCTCCATAAGGCTTCTTAATTATGTTTAGGCATATTTTTCTTTTACTACCAACCATTAGTGTTTTTCCTACCATTTTATCACTTATCTTAAAGCACTTGGGGGCACAAGATGTAATAAACAAGACTTTAAAGACTATTTGTAATCTTAAACATTCACAAAGGCTCTTAGCAGTGGATCATGCTCTATTTCCTAAAAGAAATATAAAGAAGCCTAGTGTAACATTGCTATTTTACAAATGTACAGTTTGGGATCAGATACATTCAAAAGTTGAAAGGTTTCAAAATGATATACAGGTAGTCCTTGACTTATGATCACCATTGAGCCCAAAATGTATGTTGCTAAGTGAGAAATTTGTTAAGTGAATTTTTCCCTTTCTTAGGACTTTTCTTGTCATACTTGTTAAGTGAATCACCGCAGTTGTTAAATTAGTAACGAGATTAAGTGAATCTAGTTTTCCCATTGACTTTGCTTACCAGCAAGCGAATAACATGACCCCAAGACACTGCAAATATGAACCAGTTGTCAAGCATCTGAATGTAAATCACGTGACCATGGGGATGCTGCAACAGTGATAAGCGTGAAAAATGTTCATGTCATTTTTTCAGTGCCGTTGTAACTTTGAATAGTCACTAAGTGAACTGTTGTAAGTCAAGGACTACCTGTACTTCCAATCCCAAGTACTGGAGTTGATCAGAATTTCAGGAAGTTAAAAAGAAAAAAGAAAACTATGCAGGAAATGACAGCAAGAATTACAGTGAAGTAGAAAATGACAATTTTTTTTTAAAAAAAATCTTGTTTTATGTTGGCTGTACACTGATTACAATTTCTAATAAAAACATGTGCTGCTCCAAACACTTACACATAGTAGTTGGCTATTGGTGCTTGTACTTCCTTCTCTCATTTGCCTCAATAGGTTACTATAGTAAATGCTCTGCAGGGTAGGAATTTTTCTAGACCTACTTAGCTACAACAATGCTTTCCAAACTTGGGGTAAACTATTCAAAATTAGGTAAAAATACTTTTCTTTAGGTAAGAACATAAAACCTATTACCCAATCACAACAAAGGTATTTAAATAAGTAATTTCTGGTAAGCAGTTTTGAATAATGAAGGAAGTGCTGACTTACAATCTTATATTACATTCACAGATATCTCACTGAATTTTTTGAAAAAACATTGCACAATTCTGTTGAGGAAGGATGATGAAATTCAGACTAAACATTGTTAAAACGCTTATTAATCTTATTACCTCTGCGCATGTGCGAGATCCGAATGGCTGCCAGGCTTTCTCGCTCTGCAGAAAGCGTGACGAGAAAGACCCCGGAGAGCCTTCGGAACCTGCTACAATATTACCAAAAAGTCCCCCGGGGAGGACTGGAGCCCAGGGAACACGAGAGGACTGGGCATTTTGAAGATCTCGAGCGGTGAAACTCTCGGCGGCCCGGATTTACACACGCTGCGTGGAGAGGAAGATGGTGGCGCCGCGCTGCTGACGGCAGCATT